AATAGATACTCCAAACATTAAAAGGCTTATAGATAATGTAATGAACATTGTTATGCCATTTAGAAGTGGACAGGTTTCTTGAAAGACACATATTTCTAAAACTGACCCATGAAAGGTAGAACAATTGAATAGCCCTGTTCTATCTAAGAAATCTAATTCATAATTAAAACTTTCTAAGAAAACTTCAGGCACAGTTGGTTTCTCTGTTGAATTATTTCCAATATTAAAGGAATAAACAATAACAACAATACCCAGACTCTTGGAGAAGATAGAGTAGGGAACACTTCCAAACTTGTATTTATGAGGTTTATAGTGCACTGATAGAAAACCAAATAAAGCTGTTGCCAGAATGAAAACTACAGACCAGTATCTTTCATGATAATAAATTAACAAAAAAAAAAAAAAATCCTTAAAATACTAGCAAACCTAACCCATCAGTATACATTGCATCATGGCCAAAGAGTATCCCAGGAATGGAAGTTTTAAATCTGAAAATCAATGTGGTGAACAGTTTACCATTTTAATAGCACAAAAAGAAATAGCAAATGACCATTTCAGTAGTTGGAGAAAATGCACGTGACAATATAAAATATCCATTCATCATAAAATTGACTCAGCAAACCAGAAGCAGATAACTTCCAAAACCAAAGGACAGTTTCCTATGAGAAATTACAACGCGCATCACAGTAAATGGTTAGCTGTTGCCTCCAAGATGAGGAATAAGGCAAGGGTGCGTGTGTACTTCCACCACTTTCATTCAACATGCTGTTGTAGGTTCTAGCTGTCGGAACAAATAAGAGTCCTGTGGATTGGGAAGGAAGAAGGAAAGCTGTCTTATTTGCAGAGAACATAATTATATACATGAAAATTGAGAAGTCGCCAAAAATTTAAAATATTTAGTAATAAATGTAATGAAAGATGCCTGAGACCTATACACTGAAAACTACAAAACATTGCTGAGGGAAATTAAAAGACCTAAACCAATAAATATTCCGCATTCCTGTTATGGAAGATTTCCATTTTTTTTTAGAGTAGGTGGAGTTACAGTCAAAATTCCAACAGGCTTGTTTGAAAAAATGGGCAAGTTTGATTGGTCGGCCAGAGCAGTTGTAAAGAAGGTTGAGGACATACACCATCTGCTCTCAGAACTTACTCTAAAGCCGTGGTCTTGACTGAAACAGTCTGGTCTTGGTATAATGATCAATGAAACAAATAAAGTATAGTAATGGACCCACACTTGTATGGTAAGTTGCTTTCGACAAAGACATCAGTATAAATCACTGGGGAAAGGCTACTCTTTTCAATGAATTTGTACTAGAACAACTGGATATCTAATCTACAGGGGAAATAAGGAGCTAGCATCTGCCCTCACACTGTACGTGAAAATCAGCTAGCAGTGGGTCATCGCCCTAAACATATAAAAGTATGAAACTTCTAGAAGGAAGTACAGAAAACTTGTGTGATGTGATGTTGGGCAAAGGTTTCTTAAATAGGACACACAACACAAACCATAAAGGGAAAAAAAGGACATTTGACCTCACTGAAATTAAAATTTGTTCTTTAAAACACACAGTATAAAAAATGAACAGGCACAACAGACTAGGAGAAAATGTTTACAAAACATACCTGACAAAGGGCTTGTATCCAGAATATATACACAGCTGAGCTGTGAACTCAGTAAGGAAAACAACCCAATAAAAATAAGCTAATGATTCAATAGACACATCACAAAACAAAGTCTATGAGTAAGCTCAATATCACCATATCATTAGAGAAATATAAATTAAATTCCCATGAGTTACTACTTTTGCTCTCTAGAATAGGTGAAATTAAAATGACTAACGATGCCAAGTGTTAGCGAAGAATAACTTGAACTCATGTACAAGTTGGGGCAAAAGTGAGTTTCCAGTTCATATGGAAAATAATACAGTAATAATAATACAAGAATAAACGGTTGTGAACTCAAAACTATAAATCTCCTCTTGCCCCACTGTGTGTTGCTGTGGGAATGTACTGTTGTAGAGCCACTAGAAAAAGTTCAGCTTCTTCAATGTGCATCTAACACGTGGCCCAGTCATTCCAGGTATTTAGCCATTCTGGGTATCTAGGTATTAAGTGACATGGAAATATACGTCTACATGTAGACTAGTATATGAATGTTCCCAGTAGCCTTATTCATAATAACCTCAAACTGGAAATAACCCACTGCTGGTGAACAGAATAATAATTGAAGACCTGTATTATGAGTACCAGTCAACAATATCAAGGGATGAGCTTTTGATACACACACAGCAACAACATGGATGAATTGCAGAAGCGTCATGCTAAGTGAAGTAAGTCAAACACAAGCTCTGCGTACTCTGTGGTTTTATTTCTATGTAATTCTAGAAAGGCAAAAACTTCAGCAGCTGCCTGGGGCCCGGAGTCTGGGCAGAGAATTGACAGTAAAGAGGCAGGAAGAAACGATCTGAGATGTTGGGCGTGTTTTAATTGTGGCGGTAACTACAGGGCCATAGACAGTCTGTCAAAGTTCATCAACCTGAACACTTAAAATCAGTTCACTGTCATTGTGCCTCAATAAAGCTGTTGGAAAAAAGAAACCATATTGATAGGGAATGTTTATTTGCTTTTATTTATAGATACTTATAAATTTTTCCACAGATTTTATTGGGTGCCTTGAGACTGTGCTGCAGCTTGTTTTAAATAGTTTGTACCTGGAGGGGAAAAGCTTGCTAAGGGAATAAAGGAATGAGGTTGATGAGGCTGCCGTAAGTATTCAGGGAAGGCATTTCCGATGACAGGACATTTGAGCAGACCCGGATGAAGTGTGTTCACTTCAAAGTTTTTTCATAGGTGCCTTGTGTATTTCCTAGTGAATTAATAGCTAGGTGTTTTGTAGTGTCTGTTGCTATTTCAGGTGAGATCTTTTTCTTACTGTATTGGCTAATAACACTCCCTAAATTCATTTTTGTTTGTATCTTTGTTTGCCGCAGATCTCCCCTTTGTTAATTTCTCAAGTGACTATGCAGATTTTGTGCATTGTTACTTGAAGCTCTTTATTCTGTGTGGGTGTTCAGCATGTGCTCAGCTATTGTATGTAAGTGATTTTTACTGAGACTAATCAGATCATCATCGCTGTATGTGTTAATCGTTTTTCCTAACTCAGTGTAGCACGAAAATGTAAGTAAAACCTGAAAAACGACCTAAAGTGGAAAACCAAAGATGCAAATGCAGTGTCACGTAACATGATTTTAATTTTGCTGTTAAATCAAGTACAGGATGCATGTAAGAATGTTGGCTGGTGTATTAAAGCCACCCTGGTGGACGAACGGTGGGAGAAATGAAAGAAGGTGTTCTTGAATTTCACTACCAGATTATGAGAGAATGTCTGGAAGCAGTTGATTGGTCGAGTGTAGATTAGAAACGGACGTCTTGGCAAGATTTACTGTTTCATTTGACTAGAAGGGGTTCTTTTTTATTTTATTCCTGTCTTCACTTCGTCTGCTTCAGGTAAGTGAAGTGTCCGAAGCTCGGCAGCATCTGTCATGATGGAAGCGTCAGTAGCGTGTGCTCATTTTGCTGCCAGCAGATGGCAGCAAAACGCTTTGTTAAAATACTTTCGCTTTTTTTTTTTTTTTTTTTTTAGTCATAGTAAATAGTTACTATTTTTTTTTTTTAGTGAAGACCAAGGTAGATAGGATACCCTTATTTTCTTAAAATGAATAAAAGTAATATTACTATTGTATACTGTTAGTTTAATTATTTTAGAAATGTAACTGATACAGCTTACCTTAAAAAATGGTCACTTTTTCACAGGTTTTGCTAGCAACTGCTTCTTAACTGAAACTTTCGTTCCCCAGAATAGTACTATTTTTCATGAAGCTCCCTGCCTCATAGACTTTTCTAAGAGACTCACCTTTCGTGTTTTGGAACTCAGTAACATTTTACTAAACAGCACACAAATGCTTCACCACACAACTTTGGAGGCTTTTGTTTGTTTGAAAAACACACATTTTTCTCCATGACCAAACCAAAACTGAAGGGTGACTTTTATAAGAAGAAAGCCTTTTTTAGCCCTGCCAAGGGGGCAGGTCTGACCAGTTTTCCTTGACAAGGAATTGCTGGCCTCCAGCTCTCAGGAATGCCCGCGGTTTGAGTCCAGAAGCCTGCGTTCAGGGCTAGGGCAGGTGACTGTTTGACAGAGGAGTCACATAGCAGAGGAACCACTGTAGTTTTTCTCTTTCTCTCCCCACCCCCCACCCCCCGGAATCAGTCGATTTAGGAGAGGGCTTTGGAACTGTTGGAGAAAATAATATTTGTACAGTGCTGAGGTTTCTTTCCACTTTTCGCACAACATGCTGTTCAGTTCTTCCCGATTCCCAAGTTCTTGTAAAACTAAGAATTCAGACTAGACTTTTATCTTACGAAAACATGATTTATCCAGATCACTTAACATATATCTTACATGCTTTGGAATTTTTACAGACCACAGAATAACTTTTTTTTTTAACCTAATACACCCTAAAACAACACAGTCTGCCAGACCACAGTACATCCGTAATTTAGAACAGCAGATGTTGCTACACATGCTTCTCTTTAAGACCAAGAAGCACAAGGGAAAATAAAACAAAAAGTTAAAGCAAAAGGGAAACATGAAACAATACGGCAAGGGGGGAGCCTGAGCCGCCAGAAACAGTTGGTTCGATTAGCAAAGACAAGAGACCTGTTTATCTCAACCCTGTTTTGTTTGTATATGTCTTTTAAACACTTTGGAAGCCATTCTCTTTCTGTTTACCGGGGTTGATGACTTTCTACTAAACTTTATTTCCCATTAAAACCTGGCTTCAATGAAACCGAGGAAAGAAGGGCCTGATGTGCATTGTAATGTCTGATCGTGGCCCATGGTGTGTGAGGTTTGGCCGGAAGGTGCAGTGCCACGGTAGGAGCGCGTCGTTTGGTCTCTGAGTCTGCTAACGCTTTCATTTTGGTTTTAACTCTAGCCGATCCCACGGTTAAGGACTTAATCGGAGGCTTCACTGCTCTTCATTACGCAGCCATGCACGGCCGGGCCCGAATTGCACGCTTGATGCTGGAGTCCGAATACCGGAGCGACATCATCAACGCCAAAAGCAATGACGGCTGGACTCCCCTCCATGTGGCTGCGCACTACGGCAGGGACTCGTTTGTCCGGCTCCTCCTGGAGTTCAAGGCCGAGGTCGACCCGCTCAGCGACAAGGGGACGACGCCGCTGCAGCTCGCCATCATCCGGGAGAGGTCCAGCTGCGTGAAGATCCTCCTGGACCACAACGCCAACATCGACATCCAGAACGGTTTTCTGCTGCGATACGCTGTGATCAAAAGCAATCACTCTTATTGCCGAATGTTTCTCCAGAGAGGAGCAGACACAAACTTGGGTCGCTTGGAAGACGGACAGACTCCCTTGCATTTGTCTGCCCTTCGGGATGACGTACTCTGTGCACGGATGTTGTATAATTATGGAGCAGACACGAACACGAGGAACTACGAAGGGCAGACCCCATTGGCTGTTTCTCTAAGTATTTCTGGAAGTGGCCGGCCGTGTTTGGATTTCTTACAAGAAGTCACAAGTATGTAATATAATTATTACCATTATTGCATTTTTTAAAATGTCTGCATCCTCTGAGGAGCTTAAGGTGTTCTTACAACTAGAAATAACCAGATATTAATGATTCCTTTTAGCGCTGCTTGGTAAGTAATACTTCATTCGCCCGAAATAAAAAGAAAGCTCTATATCACAAGATCACATAAAAATTCAGTTGTGTTACTAAAAGTGATGGGGTAGAAGGTCAGGGTGAAAGAAGAAATGGACAGAAAGAGGGGAGCTTTTTTTGTTTTTTTGTGGGTTTTTTTTCAGTTAATGACAATCTCTGTTAGAACAAGGCAGTTCCTACTGGTCGTAAACGTAGTTTTCTCTATGTTGCCGTAGGCTTCAGGTTGAGGAAATGGGAGAACTTTGTTGGGTTTTAGATTCCATACCTATAGAAGTCTCCTGGTATTTGTGTTTTATTTATTTGTTCGTTTTTAATTGCTAAGCTGTTGTTTCTATCTGATTCATTACGATGTGAACCCACGTGAAGAGGAGCAGCGTGTTATTTATTTAGGTGCCGCAGTAAAGCAGGTTAAGGATGTTAGAAATTGTCATGAGAAGAGATTGGCTCTCGGTGGAAAATGAGGTGCCAGCTTCCGTCGTACCTGACCTGTTTTGGTGTGGGCGCCTTTTTGTTTTTTCCTAAAAAACCCTGCCAGAGTCGGCCCACCTTTGTTGTGGTACGTGTGCCTGGATTGCTTTTGAGATGGGAGCGTTAGTTTGTGTGGATGGGGCCACCCTCTTGCCCAGCTTCCTTGCGACTAGTTGAGTGAGTGTCTCAGAATGTAATATCCAACGTAAAGCTAAGGTCTGCCTTTAAAAAAATGTTAGACGTTGCTGTCTGCTCTGCTTTCAAATGAATTCCCTTTTCCTCACCTGGTTTTTAACATGAGGGAAGAGGTGCATTCTGGACGCCGGGTCCTCAGGGGTCGGGAGTGTGCTCTACCTGCTTATACATAATCTACCCTCCCCCTTGGGGCTGAACTTAGGAGTAAGACTTTTTCGAAAAAATGAAATGTCGTTTGAATTTAGCATTATCGTGTGGGAGAAAAGATGAAATTATTACCATAAAGGGCATTCAGACTAAAGCATATAAAGAAACCACATGAGGGCCCAACTCGCTCTGTGCAGCAGAACCTTGTATTGTTCGAAATGGTCTTGCTCTGGGCCCAGCATGGTGGCCACCAGCCCCACGTGGCTGCTGAGCACTTGGGAGGTGGCTGATGGCCCTGGGAGACGGAACCTTAAGTGTATTCACTTACATTTAAAGGCCGCAGTGCCTGGCCAGCGGCTTCCGCGTTGAGCAGCGCAGCTCTGCCTGCCCAGGGGGTGAGGGGCTGCTGGGTAGGTGGTCCCTTGCAGAAAGCATGATAGCCTATGGCGTACAGCGTTTTCATTATACCTCCCGGGCTTCTTTTTGTTGCCGTTGTAACTTCTACACCAGAGGCCCTCGGCTAGAGCGGCTGCCTGCAGGAAGGCGTGCTCCGTCCGTAAATGCCGCGGCCCTGTTTGTTCCACCTTCCGCCTCGTGGTTAATAGCGCAGACCAGAGCCAGGCTGTGTGAGCTCAGGCCCCCAACTCCGCCACAGGGTAACTGGGACCTGGGGCGGGCACCTGCTCTGTGCCTGTGTCTTCATCTTAAAATGGAGCTAATTATATCTGTCTGTAGGCTTGCTGTGAGGATTAAATGAGTTAATATTTATAATGTACTTAAGACAGTGGTACATTTTAAGCGCTATATTTGTGTGCATGTGTGTGTTTGTTTTATATAAAACGTGTAATTAAACATGGGTGGGTGAACAGCAAGGGCCGACTCCCTTCGAGCTTCATTCTTCCCGAGCCTCCTGTTTTCAACTCTGTAGACTCTTCTGTCACCTGCCTGCGGAGACACAGCCAGTGGGATGGAAGGAGCTGTCCCTTTGTCCTCAGCCCTCAGAATGCTGACAGGGAGCGAGACTGTTGGGTTAAAAAAGATGCACATGTACCTTTAAAATTCGGGGCAGGCGGGAATGACCCCCCCGCTCCAGTTTGAGTTCCCTGGTGCACAAGGACAGCCCGCGCACCGAGCTGGCCTCGGCGAGCGTGGCCTGGCTGAGTGACTCAGGAAGATGGTAGCTGAGCAGAGGCGTGGAGTGCTTTTCGGACGCAAAGGCCTGCCTGTTTCTGAAGGCTGCAGTTAGTCAGTCACCGTGTTCAGGTGCCTCAGCAGAATTCAGTACTTCTTGACTCTCGGCGGTGTCTCCTGCCAAAAGTGAAGGGAGTATTTCTGCTTCGGCGGTTCAGTATTTCTTACGGGCCTCTCTGCCTGGTGGATAACGATGCGGCAGAAGAACCAGCCGTGCTGGCTGCCTTTGGAGCGCTGTCTACTGAAAGCCGGAGAGGGAGGAGGCGGGGAGTTGGGGGCATTTAGTCAAAGCCGTGAGCGCCTTCCATCCTCCGACGCCCCTGAGGCCCGCAGCTCCAGGCACCGAGCTGTTGGCTTCTGATCTGAGGAGGCCGGCTCCCGAGGTACAAGGACGGCTGGAGTGGCCTTCAGTCGGGGCCCTTTTACCGTCATTGCACCATTTAACTAGAAGCAGGTTGTTTGAATTGGAAGAGCTCACAAAAATCATAATCCTGGAATGTAGAAGCTACTGTGGGTTTTTAGAAAACTTGCCATAAAGGCTGGGATACACGTTGCATAAGAACGGGCAGACGAGCAGCTGAGTTACGAAGCCGTGTCTTCTGGTGTCTCGTTGGCCCGGGGTGGAGGGAGAAGCGCCGGAGAGCGGCTGCCTGTTCACCTGCAGCCGGGCCTGCGCAGACCTCGGCCTTCCAGAATGGCCGGAGCTCCTCCAGAAAGCCAGGCCAGGGGCGGCGCAGCGCCTTCGTGCCCAGGGACCAGGAACCCATCGAGAAGGGCCAGAGACCCTACGTGAAAAATGAGCGTTGTCTTGCACAGGGGAAGATGTTTCTTGCTTCGTTGGTAGCGTTTATAAGAAGCCACTTTCTTCTCTTTTAGTGCTTTTACTTGAAAGATAAAATAAAAGTGGAACAAGTAAACTAAAGGGACAACAACAGGAGAACAGTGAAGGCCTGACGGATGACAGGAGGAAGTGGTAGGGAGGACACAGCAGCGGACGTGCTGATGGAGGTCCCCTGAGGGCAGGGTTCCCCAGGTCAGCTTCTGGCACCAGGGCCGGGACGCGGATGAGGCAGGCGAGGTACCTACAACACCGGCGTTACGGAGGCGCTTGTCTCAGGGTCTTGCAAATGCACACAGCTGATGAAAGTAGGATAATTTGTACCCAGCATGTTCACGGACACCGTCACGGTGCAAAGAGGATCATGGCAGCTCTGGCATATGGGATCAAGGCGCCAGTTCTCTGGCCAAGGCCAAGAGCAGATTACCGGAGTGTTTGCCCGGTTCAAACGAGAAAGTCTGCATGTGCGTACAAGGAAACAGTAACGATCCCTAGAAGATGTTTCGTAAGTCAGGCTTACCCCGAGGGCATGGTTAAATGATGATAGAAAGTGCCCTGGACCTCGGAAGCTTCTTTTCCTTTGTCGTCTCCCCGCTCCATGGTGTGAACTCTCCTAGTCACCTGTGGACGAAGGCGTTACTCAGAATGTGACACCTTTTAAGAAAGCAAGAGAAATTTCAGAGAGAGCCGAACCTCAGGTGGCAACCAGGAGGAACTTTTCATCTTCTGGGGGAAGGATAAAAGATGGGATTTTAATCATCTGCACGCCTGGAATTTTGTTCAGAGAGAGGTCGTGGGGAACCCGCAGTTTGGGGAGGAAGCCCACTTCCGAGCGCTCCCGCGAGTCGGCACGTGGTTGGGAAGGGCTCTCTTCCGCTGCTGCCGCCACCGCGGCAGGCGTGGGGCAGGGCTGAAAGAGCTGCCACTTGCAGTGCCGGTGCAGATGGTATGGAAGCTGGAGGAAAGCGTTAGCAGAGGACGCAGGTCAGAGTGGAGCTGGCAGCAGATGAGGCGGCCCGTGCTGGAGAACAGCACGCTGAGGGTGGCGGCCGCTTCCACGTCAGACGGGCTAGATTATTTGCAGAAGAGGCACCGCATGGCACCGCCTGCCTGGGAAACCCTTTTGTTGTAATAAGGCTTCACCCTTCAGGAGAAGCAGGGAGCAGTCCAAGGGCAGAGTGCACTCGAAGGCTCGTGCAAGCAGCAAGGTCCCAGTGCTGTGGCAGGGGTCCGCTTGTCACCTTTGCCAGTAACATCCTCACCTGTCCTCACTATGTGTGGAAACCACCTGTGTAGAGGCTGCTATTTCAGGAAAGCATTCGATAGGCAAGAGATTGCTATTACCATGGAACAATTTCTTTAGTTTTAACGTAGGAATCATAGTTACTTCAAATTGCCTGTCTGCTAATTCCAACATCTGTGTCATATCTAAGCCTGGTCCGATGCTTGCTCTGTCTCATCCGACTGTGTTTTTCCTTGCCTGTTAGCATGTCTTGTAATTTTTTATTGAAGCCAGACATGATGTATTAGGTAATAGGAACTGAGATAAATAGGCCTTGAATGCCAGGTTATGTGTGTGTTTCGTTTGCTGCAGCTGTAGTGCCAGAGGCCTCAGGCTCCCCTAGAGCCCATGGTTTAGGGCTCTAGTCTGTGGGCTGCTTGTCCCTCGCTGCTCAGAGAAAGCCCAGGTCTGCAGCCCTGTCAGCTGCATGGCACTGTTACTGCGTCGCAGCCCGGTTGGTGGGTGGTGACGTGGGGGCGGGGGAGCCCGAGGTCCTCGATCTCCTGATCCACCCTCTCGGTGATTTCCCGTTTATTCCACTCTTTCTAGTCAGGCTGGGAGTGCCGACTTCCAGGCTCTTCACGTGTTGGAGCTGAAACTGAAAGTCTGTTGGTTCATTTTATCACTTTGACTGACCATGTGAGAAACATCCTCTGAGCCCCTTGGGCTAAGCAGTGATTTGCCCTCTGGGCTTCAGAGGCATGTGGCCCCGGGAGCCTCCTGGTGAGCTCTGCG